GTGTGTGTGTGTGTGTGTGTGTGTATGTGTGTGTGTGTGTATTTAAATCTCATTCCCAGGATTCTGAGAGGCTGGTATACAGTGTTGAAATAATTGAAGTAATGTTAATTGAAGCACTTCTCATTGGCTATGAAATGTATAGCCTTTAAGTATTTTGTGTGAGACAAATCAGGTCCAGTAAGTTTCAGTGTAATTCTCATTTATCATGAGCAACAGCTGGATGGGATGTGCTTTAGAGATAAGCACATAAAATATAAATTTTATATCTTATGCAGGTAAGGCAGCTCATTTAGGGTGTTTTTTTGTATGGTCTTTTCCAAATGGCCTTTTGAAACCCTTTCTACAAGACATTTATGCCTTCTGGTATGTTGTTTACCCCTTACCTGCCTTCCCTCCCTGCCCCATCCCATCCCATCCCACCTTACACATTTACAATACAACTGGGTAGAATAAGAGAATCAGAACTTGAAATTTTTTTCTATCACCTAGAAATAGATGCATTTCCTCAGTCAGATATAGCTGGGCAAATGATGTCTTATCTGGCCGGGCCTTAGAGACCACGAATTCTGAACTAATGATGAGTTAGTATAAAAAGTTTGCCATGTAGGCAACTAATAGGACAGTGGACATGCTCACTGAGGAAAAGCATGTTTGTAAGTAGAGAAGATGAGTTCCTTTTGAAGTTCATGTCCATGCGGATCCCCACTGACCACAAAAGACCACGAGTTTTGATTTTGAGGTTGCAACTAAATTTTAGTGAGTAGGCGAATATGCAAATATGGAACCCTCAGCTAATGAGGATTGACTGTATATCAGTTGTCATTAAAGTCATGAGTAAATGTGATTGCCAAGGGAAAGTGAGAAGAGGGCCTAGGACAAACATACTCGTAGAAGGGACAGGCAGTGAAATGAGTCTCTTCAAAGGAGACTAAGAATGAGTAGCCAGGGAGGCAGACGGGAAACCTGGGGAGTGTGGCCTCAGAAGCCAAGGTTTCAAGGAAGGAGAAAGTTGTCAAATGCTATAAAGAGATCAAGTAGAAATGAAACTTCATTCGATTAAACACTTGAAAGTCGTGGTGACTTTGATGAAAGCATTTACAGTGGAGTCACAAGGATGGAATCTATACTGAGGAGTGAATGAGGGTAAAATAAGAAAGGAGACAATCTGGAGATTACTAATTTAGAAGTCTGTCAGAAACGGTGGTATGAGGATGTGGGGGAGGGGGGAAAGGGGCGTGTTATACGGGAGCACGAGGAAACTTCTGGTGATGATGACTCTTTATTCCATGGACTGTGTTGATGGTTTCTCAAATATACATACTTCAAAAACTCAGCAAATTGTATACTTTAAATATGTATAGTTTATTGTATGTCAGTTGTGCCTCAGTAAAGTGTTAAAAACATTTTAAAGCAAAAGTTCGTCCTCAAAGGAGGGCATAAAGGCAGAGCAGCACAGGGAGTGAGAGGTTGAGGAATTGTGTGTTTGGGTTTTTTTTCAGTGGTTCTATTAGATATAATTACATACCATAAAGTTTACTCATTTGAAGTATATAAACCACTGGTGGCTTTGTTTTCTGTTGAATTTTGTTTTTAAGGTGAGAGAGATTTGAGCATAATTAAAGGCCTTTACAAGCCATGTAGAGAATAGATTGATTAGTTTTAGACTGGAGTAAAGTGCTGCTTCTATTTAAACTCTAGTAAAAGTGGAAAATAAGGTGTAAATGCATTTAAATTCATGGTGTTGATGGCTTGAGATTGATGGATTTCTATTCTAAAGACATATATTCTTAAGGAAATAGGAAGTGAAGCCATTTGTAGAAGGGTGAGAAGTTATGGAATTAGATTTTGAAGACAGTGGACTAGCTACTTCAGAGAATAAGGGGTACAGGACATGCAATTAATAGAAATAAAAATGCAATACTAGGGCCGGCCGAGTGGCGCGATGGTTAAGAACTGGCTTGGGACGCCAGAGGGCCCCGGTTCAGATCCCACATATGAGGGCCAGTGACACTGCCCTCCACAGCTAA